ATGGATGCAGAACATTCTGCCTACTTGCAGTCTGTGAATGCCGACAGTGAATCTGATCCAGCTGTAGTGGAAAGGCCATGAAGAAATATTCCCAAATGTGAAACAGTTGGTAAAAAAGTATCTGTGAGTACCTGCTACTAGCTCCCCATCAGAAAGGGTATTTAGTACTAGTGGAAATGTGGTGACATATCACCGGGCCTCTCTCAAACCTGAAGCTGTTGACAGGCTTGTGTTTTTGGCACATAATCTCAAAAAACCTATGGATCTTTTGCATTGATGAGACCTATTCAGGGGTATGGGGCGGCTGTGGCTGAGTGGTTAGAGCAGTCGTCCCACAATGCGAGAGTAGGGGGTTCGAATCCACCAGCAGTCACATGTCGAAGTGTCCCTGGGCAAGACACTGAACCCCTCATAGCCTCTGATGTGTGTTCCATCAGTGTATGAATGTGATCTAAAGCGCTGATTAGTCTCATTCGAATGATTTGTTCGATTAGCTTTGCAGAGATCTAGTAGAGTGCTGTATGAATGGGTAAATGAGGACACAGATTGTAGTGTAAAGCGCTTTGAGTATCTTGAAATAAGATAAAAAGGCGCTATCCACCTTATTCCGGATTTGGCGCCACTACCCATAATTCATAGCGGAAGCCGGTTGTTTACTTCCGCCCGCGATCCCGCGCTGTTGTTTACGTTTGTGGGTTAACACACTTGCTAGCAATTTAATGTTTTTGACACAAAAGTTTCCTTTACCTGAAGTAAATGGCAGCACATCAGAGGTGGATACATTGCAAGGATGTTTTAAAAAGCTGCGAAGATAAGTCGTTAACTGTGTCTCACCCATCATTTCTCACGGACTGGGTAGATGATATGAAATCATGGCCCGGAATTACCTACATCGATATTATTAATTACCTTGTTTTTTCTGAAGGCGTCGATGGCGAGGAATTGCGGAATTATAAAAGCACAGAGGCGTATAATTACCTCCACAGCAACAAAATAGATAGTTTTGCTCAAGAAACAAGGCGACTTTATCTTTCTGAAAGCAGCTGTTGAGCCGAGCCAGAGCGTTGGTCAAGCTAAACACTTAGCATGGGTCATGCTCAGAGAAAGTGGAGTGGTAGAAACGGTCGGCTGTTCCTGTATCGCCGGATTGGGAAAATCATGCAGTCATGCGGCAGCTATTCTGTGGAAGGTATATCACTTATCTGGATATCAGAATATTTACATCACTGAATCAGAATCACTGAACTGGGCGAAAGCTGTGAGCTTCCTGTCTGCCTGTGTTTACATGTGGAAGCCAGAGCATTGTGCAGCCTGTGATCTACTGTCACAAAAAATTAAACATTAAAAAGGCTGTACAGTATTTTTATATTATTTGTTTTTAAAAAAGTACAGACTGGATGCAAGGCAACCTAACATTTACAGAAAAGGAAAAAATAAATGACAACAGCAGGGATGTAAATAACTTGTTTCATTTTATTAGGAGCAGTGATAGCTGAAGTCTGTTAAATTGTTACAGGTCCAGAATGCTGTGATCAGTGGAAAGACGGGGCTAGCATGTACAGATGAGCAGCGCAGGTGGAATGCTGGGACAGCAAAGAATCTTCAACCCAAACGTCTAAGCATGATAAACTTCAGACACCACAAGGCAGAGCAGCAGTATAACATCAACTCAAGGGCTGCAGACACGATTAGTCTTTATTTTCATAAGTGTTATAAGGACTTGATCTTGTACAGGCATTGTAAATTCATTGTTGTCATCTCCTTCCAGTGCTGACACAAGAGTGTTAAATGTTTCTAACGCTATACCAGTGTACAGCAAAGCGTCTGCGTCATTTTGTAGAAGAAAAAATGCAACTTCATCACACTGAGTCGTCTTGTCCTGGACATCTTTTCTGCCAGACGTGTTGCAGTATTGATGATGATCTTTTAGCGAAGGGTCCTCCCACTGTGTGTGGACTGAGTGCAGATGTGGCCCAGGAGGTTGTGTGGAGACGCTAGCCAGGTCTGGGATGACTGACGGTGAATCTACGGTGCACTCTGAATAACACAAAAATACAAAATCAAATCAGCGTAACACAACCTGTCAAGTGTCACTTACCTTATTACGTTTTAGGAAGGAAATTTGTAATTCCACACTCGTACACACATGATACATCTTAAATGTCAATAGTGCTGTTTTAGTGGGGCTTTAGCCCCCTTAAATTTTCCTAAGCCCCATCAAATTATGCTATAATATCAAAATATTGTGATTAGATTTTAGTTTTTCATCCTTAAAAAAAATCAGTTGGAGCTAGGTTGCATTTAAGCTTTTTCTTTAAAGAGTTTAAAAGAAGTTTTTTTTTCAGCTGTGTCTGTTTCAAATAACCTGCCTCTAATAACTCAACATATTCTTTATTAACAAAATCCCCAGACTTTTACAGCCCTGGGGGCTGAATTTTACCAGGTTGCTAAATAAAAAGCTATTCTCGGACAGTTACATGAAATCATATACATCTCTGCTAGCATGCTACTGATGTTAATTACTAACCACTTTGTCTTTAAGATTTGGATTTGGCTGCCAATCAAGTACTTTCTCTTAGTGATAAAGTATTTTGGAATTAAATTAATAATACACTAACATCCACAATAACACTGCAACCAGCTAGCGCTGATGCTAACACCATCCACAGTATAGTAATTATAACATTACAATTATAACATTAATAATAATATAATTCAGTAAAAGATAAGAGCTAAGCATGATTAAAATGTGAAGCGGGGACAAATCACATTTTCAATTTCACTCACCGGGAACAGATTCGGCCGTTTTGTCGATGTTGCTGGAAGCTGTCTGGCTCACAGTGGTCCGGATGAGCTGCCTTCTTTTCTTTGGTGGGGCCCGGTCATAGCCCAGATAGAGCTCCGGGTCGGGGTGAAGCTCTGTGGGCTTTTTATCAATAAAATGAAAGGAGCAAACATAAACTCTCTTCGGGGGGTATTTGAGTTTTAAAGCTGCCAGCCACGCTCGTTTTCGATCCTCCTTCCTCGGCATGGAGTGCAGTTCGTAACGCGCTGGGCACACACAGGCCTTTCGAAGTTGTTGATGTGCAAAACAATACGTTTCTAGCTCGTCTTTCAGTTTTCTGGAGCTGTTGTGACAGCCAACAACAGCACAAGTTGAACCCGAACTCATATTAGAATTGTTTAAGCCTCCTGCTACAGCACAAATTACTAGAATTTGTCATTAGCAAAAGTGCCTCTCGCTTTAGCTCACCGGAAGTATAAAACCGGGAGGGGGCGGTACCTGTCTGTCATGGCAGCCCACATACGCTCTTGCAGAATAAGGTGGATATAAGTACAGTCCATTTACCATTTACCATATTAATGTCACCATTTGGACATAAGCTTCTTTGATTTCAACATAGCATCATTTCCTTTTTTATCACTTTGTGTGGTGTGTGTTTAAAATCTAGCAGACAAAGAGTAATTATTATTTAAATTATTTTGAGATGATCTAACACCTGTGATAAAACTGTTCTTGTACAGGGATTTTGAAGATATTGCCTGAACTTGGTACCATTTACCAGTTTAGCACTTTTTATGTTTTGTTGTTCAAAATTTCCAGCATATGCAAATTGTTTAGAGAAGCTCTGATACATGTGACTGTTCTGGGTCAGTTGATTATATAGTCACTAGTTAAACTTTTATTTTTGTAATCTGGACTCATCAGGTTTTTTGATTTTACAATTTTTATGCAAAAAGCACTAACGAGCACCTTTTTTTCAGCCAGCTGGTTTATTTTTCATTGTGGATTTGTGCTTGGTGTACTTTTTTGCTGCCAAGGTCTTGTTTATTAAAGGTATAGTGTTGACCACAGTAAGAGACATTGGTACTAATTTCATTACTGAAGATGATTTGTATGCAACTGATGGTTAGAATAAAACATTTTAAACTTATTCTGATTTTGTATTCAAATAAAAAAAAACATCAATGGTCTGTTTGAAAAGAGTACACTAGTGCCATTTTAAATACTAGTTTAAAGTAACACTGGAGATTATTTATAGATATTGTGATATATATCGTGTATTGTGATATAGCTAAATAATATCGGGATATTAGATTTTCCTCATATCACCCAGCCCTACTAGACAGTTTCTTTTTTTGTGCTGAAACATTTCGCCTTCGATCTGGAAGGCTTCATCAGTCAAGAAAACACATAACAAAACTGATTCTTCCCCCAACAGCTTACTCCAAAGTGGAACAAACCATTTCTGCTTGTGGTAAGATGGTCTCTTTGGTACGCCCCCTCCTCCATTGCATTGGATTATTGAGCATGGACTTTGTTGTTTTCAACCAGTTTGACACGACTGTCAACAAGGAAGAGGGCCCGCAATGGAGGAGGGGGCGTACCAAACAGACCATCTTATCACAAGCAGAACTGGTTTGTTCCACTTTGGAGTAAGCTGTTGGGGGAAGAATCAGTTTTGTTGTGTTTCCTTGACTGATGAAGCCTTCCGGATCGAAGGCGAAACGTTTCAGCACAAAAAAAACTGTCCAGATGACCTGACTGAAAAATGTTGGAGTTTCTGTTGTGATTTAATCAAACAGGGATCCTTGTGGCCTGTGCAAAGGATCACAACAACATCAAAAATGTTTGTTAATAATCTAAACTGCTTTCTGATAGTGACTGGTGAGATATGCACAACAGATTATGCCCATTTGACATATCTTTCGTTACACGCAAATTACGTTTATACAAGAATGTGGTTTTAAAAAATCCTGAAGATCTGCTTAGCTGTTGACAAGTAGTGTTTTTGTCTCCATCTCACAGAGAGGCACATATCAACTCAGAACGAAAGTTTAATGATTGAACTTAATAGGGGGTTTGGAATGTAGCATTGCTGAGAGCCTGCAGTTTCCATACAACAAAGGAAATTTGTTGAAGAGGACAAAAATACACAAAAAGACAGACATGAACAAAGAAAAAAAGTGAGTTGGCAGTATAAGCTGAAGGAAAACCATTACTGCAGCAGCATAGCATCTGTCTGGAAACACTGTTTAAAAACTGTTTTCACAAAACAGCCCATTATGTTTTCAAACCTGTCAGTGTTTCATTTACAAATGCATGCCTTAAAATCTTCCAGTCTTTGGTAACATAAAGATTCTGTCTACAGTAAATAATTGATTACTGTTAAATCAACATTACAGATGAGAATAAAATGTTACATCCTCCCAACACCTCTTGTTCTTCAGCTAATCAGAGTTCCAAGTTTAAAACCAAGTGATTGTTTTGTGTTTCTGCTCGTCTGTTGCTCTGAACTTCTAGCATCAAGCAACTGGAAACCACAAAACAGATGTCAGGCTCAGTGCAGAAACCTTGAGAAATGGGATGGAGTTGTTTTGTATGAGTCAAGTTACATGACCATCAGTTTGAAAACTTGATCACAGGATGAGGAAAAGTAAAGTCGGTTTAATTGCTAACAGGAGGAGAGTGGCACCTTTAAAAGGCAATAAACATCTTGAGAAAACAGCTAAAGCTGGATGCTGCTGTTCAAATGCATGACTGTGTGCTGTATCCTTTGTTTCAGTCACACTAATGGATTGTATTAAGTTATTTAAGAGTTATTTCAACCAGAAAAGCAGATTAAATTAGACATCAGAAGATTTGTTGATTTCAAAGCCACGTGTGAAAGGTCTACTTCCAAATCTGCAAATAGGCTTACTATTTTAGCTAACGAACAGTGAAGCAGCTTTAAAATAAAAACACGACAGTGCAGCTTCTTGTGCCTCTTCAAGAAGAGTCTTACCTGTGAAGGTGCGCTGCTGGAAAGCCCCCCACTGATCTCCCCGATGCGTGCGGCTGCTGTGGGGTTGCTGGAGCTGATAAGGACCGGCCCACTTATTTCCATGGAGTGACGCTGTGGGGGCGGAGCTAGCATGGGTTTGTGGGACATAGTGAGAGAAGTGAAGGAATGTCGTTTCTTGCTGTTCTTCTTCTCCCCTGCCCGCTGGGCACCATTGCCCTGAGGACCCAAGGAGGCCCCCTCACCAGAGTCTCCATTCGGGTCTGACGGCTTGTCCAACTCTATAAGCTGACGAGCTGCAGAGTTGAACTATGAGAGGGGAGGTGAGGCAGGGGTCAACAAGAGGAGCATTACTAATGAAGATGATAATTATGATAACTATTGATGAAAACTGCACGTTTATTGCAACAGATCATCTTTGTGTGGACTAATGCTTCCAATGTAAGTGCATCTTCTTTTTATGTAGACATAACCTAATTTTAAAGTTAATGACAGGCCAGCTGTAAAACTGCAGGTTTGTGACCCTTTCTAACACTGCAATGTGCAACTGAGTGGGTAAAAATCAAAGCAGCAGTTTGAACTCATCGCAAGGTGGTTAAACCTGCCATCATCTCCTAATCTAGGCAGCTCTTTTTATTTAGGACATAAATAAAAAACTGAGAGCAGGGTCCAATCAAGCAGATAGCCTGTGTAAGGTAACCACTCAAATGTCAGGATATTAAGGTAGACATCAAACATTTAAAGTAAAATAATTGTGTTTTGTAAACACACACAATTGAGAAGTCAACCAAAGCCTCTACGGTGATGGAAATATTCAAAATAAATGCTACGTAAAAAAGAATGTTTAAGATCAAGCTTTATGTTATAAATAATACAGCACTTGTTCATAACAACCTAATCATGAATATGATAGGAAAACATTTTTCCATTCTGTCAGGGTGCTTTAAATCATAAAATAAAGTTTAATATACTTTAGTTTTTAATGCTGTGCTTCTTTTTAACCTTTATAAACTATAATCAAAACCTAACATTCATAGTTTCTACATTAAAAATTATTAATCCTAAAATAGAAAACATATATGGTACCCAAAGCTCTTAAGCAAAACCATCTGAAAGCATTTTGTGTAACAAAGGATAACAGTGTACGTAATAAAAAAAGGAATTATGTTAACATTTCTCAGATGCTTTAATGAGTCTGCCATAAGAAGAATCAAGCTGCTTACTTACCTCCACATACGAGATGGGAAAAATTCCTATTTTATCTCCCAGCATTCCCTCTACCCAGTTTTCATCAACTCTACGGATTACAGTCAGAATATCATCCTAAATAAATGTAGAGAGCAAAAAATGATGAGGAAAAATTTATTAAAGGACATTTTTTATCAAAGAGTGTACCTTCAGGAAGAAACATTGAAGAGAAGTCTTAATGATGATTTATTAAATAGAACATACCCAGGTCTAAAAGTGATTCTGTCATGGAAACTACACTGCCTGGCCAAAAAAAAGTTGCCACCTGGATTTAACTAAGCAAATAAGTAGGAGTCTCCTATTGGATAACTACTGCATGGGCGATTATCTTTCAGCTGCAACAAGTTATTTAACCTCAACTGGTGCAATGAGTTGCTTCTCATTTCTTACACAACCTGTCGAAAGACACATCACGTGGTCGTGGAAAAGATGTCAGTCTGTTTGAGAATCAAATCATTGGCTGCATCAAGCAGAGAAAACGTCTAAGGAGATTGCAGAAACTACTAAAATTGGGTTAAGAACTGTCCAACGCATTATTAAAAACTGAAAGGATAGGGGGGACCCATTGTCGTCAAGGAAGAAATGTGGCCGGAAAAAAATCCTGAATGATCGTTATCGGTGATCACTTAAAAGTTTGGTGAAAACAATCAAAGAGAAAACAACAGTAGCACTCAGGGCTATGTTTAATAGTGAAAGTAAGAGCATTTCTATACATACAATGTGAAGGGAACTCAAGGAATTGGGATTGAACAGCTGTGTAGCCTTAAGAAACCCACTAATCAGTGAGACTAAACAGAAAATAAGGCTTCAATTTGCTAGGGAGCATAAAGATTCAATTCAATTCAGTTTATTTATATAGCGCCAAATCACAACAAAGTTGTCTCAGGGCACTTTACAGAAACGTTCACATACATAAAAGCCAATTAGTAAAGTTCTCTATCTAAGGAGGCCAGCAGACAAGTTGAATCTTGGCTTCGTTGCAGTCTCCCATCCTGAGCAAGCACAGTGGCAACAGTGGAAAGGAAAAACTCCCTTTTTAAAAGGAAGAAACCTCCAGCAGAACTAGGTTCAGGACAAGAGGCCATCTGCTTGGACCGGCTGGTTTGAGAGGACAGGAACGAGAGACAAACGAACACAGTATGGTAGGTCCAAGTATAGGTCCAGATTGGACTCTGGAGCAATGGAAGGTCATGTGGTCTGATGAGTCCAGATTTACCCTGTTCCAGAGTGATGGACACATCATGGTAAGAAGAGAGGCAGGTGAAGTGATGTACCCATCATGCCTAGTGCCTAGTCATCAATGCAAGATCTTGATGAAAAAATAATGTAACACTGGATGGAAATAGATCTTGTGACATTGCAGAAGCTTATCGAAAATATACCACAGTGAATGCATGCTGTAATCAAAGCTAAAGGTGGTCCAACGAAATACTAGTGTGTGATCTTTTTTTTGGTGGCAACTTTTTTGGGCCAGGCAGTGTACTTACTAAAGTTTGTTTCGGTTTTTGCTCATGCGGAATATAACTTGATGAGAGAATTCCAAACAATCAAAGTCTGACCCAACAGCTGGATAAACAAAGCAGTTCAATCACTGTAGTTAAGCTATGCCTGGCCTTTGTTCTCCCAGTTTAATTACAGCTGCTCATCAAGAAGCCTGGCTCTAACTCCAAACCATTGCTGTGGACGTTTCACTCAAAAACCCTGACATTCTAACGCACATAACTCTAGAAAATGAAGGCTTACAAGACACATTCTCACTGTAATGAGAAGTATTTTAGTTTTACTATGCTGACCATGTGGCTGAAAGGTTTGACTTGCATCTCTGCAATACCTCACCTTAGAGAAGGGCAGACAGTCCTTGTCAGCCTCTTTGTCTTTGAGCTCAAAGTCATAGACAGCTTTGCACTGAGGCGGCGGCTGCGGCAGCGGCTTGATGACCTGTACAAAGTTGGTGGGGAAAAAGCCATGCACTCCTCCCATCTCCCCATGGTACCAGTTTTCATCCACTTGCCGGCGCAGGATAATGATGTCACCCTTCGTGAATTTGAGATCTCCTGGTTCCTTGCCATCATAGTTGTACAGTGCTTTGGCACAAGGCAGCTGAGGGACACCCTAAAACGAGAAAGTGCAAACAGGATGTTGGGCTTTTTTTCTTTACTTTGATGGTGGCGTGGGGCCGAGCAGCAGAGCGGTGTATGGTGCACACGGAGCGGAGATACAGTTAGCAGGCTATCCTTTTGGCTGCGTCTCCATCTTGTGTGTGCTGTGTGTTGTTCTGTTGTTCGGTTTTGTGCTGTTAGTAGGGTAAAAAAGAGGAAAGGGACTTCCTGTTTGGCTTGGTGTAATTCCATTTTATCAAATGTTCGTTTAGGGCCACCGTATATTCATGACCTGTGAGTTGAAGAAGAGCCGAGAGTTCTGTTTTATGTTTCTGTGTTTTATCCTTAGAGGACAAAAAGTAAAAAAAGGCACAAAATATATAAGTTTATAGAAATAAGTATTTGTTTGCAAAGGCTAGAGTGACATCATCTCAGTCGAATACTCTGTGGTAAAAGCTTCAAATTCAGATTTTACATAAACCAAATAAAAATCTATTCTACAGTTCAGTTCTGTAACCTGTATACAAGAAACAACCACATATAAAAAAATTGAAGAACAAAAGTAGGCACAATGAGTGCAAATACATCAAATGATGAAAAAAAAATTGGAATTTTAAATAAAATTGTTTTTGTAGGATCTAGTTCATCAGATTGAATTCAGTTTATATAGCGCCAAGTCACAACAGAAGTCGTCTCAAGGCACTGAACAGAAATATTCATATATAAAATAAGTTAACAGAAGCATTCATATTTAAAAAATAATAATTAACATTATTTATCTGAGGAGCAAACTGATTTGAGTTTAACTCATCGTAGAACTCTCAATCGGTGAACTAAAGTTAATTAAAAGTTAATTAAAAGTCCATTAGCAAGATTTTGGATTCTGGACATGCCTCTAGAACCCGTCCTGAAGTGTGGTGCAAATCAGGCTGATCTGAGCAGGGCTGAGCAGAGTTGGGGCTGAGTAGGAGCAGTGCAAAAGTGGCATAACTCAGTCTAGGACAGTCTAGGAAGCAGAGATGTATTCTTCCACATTTGTCTGCTGCTTCTTCATTACCTGCCCAAACCCCCATTGAAATGGTGCCAAGCAGTGCTCGTCTGTTACCCACCCAAAACCCCACTGAAACAGTGCCAACTCGCCCACGGCTCAAATCAAATAAACCAAAAATCGACTATAAAAACATTAACCATAAAAATCTTATTAAAATAAACACAACTACTTTACCAGAACAAAAGAATGAAATCATTAAATGTGAACTATTGAACATCAGATCACTTTCCTCTAAATCCCTGTTAGTCCATCCATCCATCAGCAGGGTGTCTAAGCTCTCCCTTAGAGATAGGGTGAGAAGTTCGACCATCCGGGAGGGACTCAGAGTACAGCCGCTGCTCCTCCACGTCGAGAGGAGCCAGTTGAGGTGGCTCGGGCAGCTGTTTAGGATGCCTCCTAGACGCCTCCCTGGTGAGGTTTTCCGGACACGTCCCACCGGGAGGAGGCCCAGAGGAAGACCCAGGACACGCTGGAGGGACTATGTTTCTCGGCTGGCCTGGGAACGCCTCTGGATTCCCCCGGAGGAGCTGGACCAAGTGGATGGGGAGAGGGAAGTCTGGGCCTCCCTACTTAGGCTGCTACCCCCAGGACCCGACCCCGGATAAGCGGAAGAAAATGGATGGATAACTGTGGTGGCCATCTTGCATTCAAACATTTATCAACAATAAAAAAAAATCAATGTATTAACTAAAAAAAGGTAAACACAATTTGCTCTAATTTAGTGATCATATCCTACTTTGAGCTAATTTTCAGCTATTTCTTGTGTTCCTTTGACACTTTTAGTAAATAACAAATGTTTTGCTATGTTTAGTTTTAAACAATCACATACATTTGTCTGTTTTGCTAACGTTTTGGTACTTTTACATGCTATCTTGTTTTTTATTTTTGGCATTTAGTTAGTGTTTTTTTACTTTTAGCTATAAGGACATGTTTGCAGATTTTAGTCAATATCTGGCTGCTTATTGTTTTTAGCCAATGTTTTGTATTTTAGCTAGTGGTTTACTTTTAGCTTTAACAACTCACTTTCACCTTATTCCAACTAATTATAGCACTCAGCATTCATACTGCATTTACATTCTGTGCATGTCATCGTATAGCAAGTCTTTGTGGATTCAGCACTGGAGTGACCCCTGATAGAACCAATTCTTTTTTTTTTTTATCAAATGAATAGCTGTTTACTGGTCTAAATATAAA